AATCAATTCTGATCAGTCCGTGTTAAATGTTAACTGCTCAAGTTATTCTACAAAGGAGTGTGAGAAATGCAGATAAGATTAAAAGTCTGTGGTGACGACAATCCAACACACACTGGAAGCTGACGTATACCGACAATAATGATATAGATACTGTGATTATTATATGTAAGAGCAGAAGAATAGAAGATGTAAACGCAAACAAATCATTGATTGTAAAACACCTTCCCTTATACTTTCATTTAGAATATTTTCACTCTGTGGCTAAGATCATCTTACTATTAAAATCTACTTAGGCCGAAACGTCTGACATTCCCATGACCGCGTCTACTATTTTTATCATCGGTGTTTTTAAAACGTTTTGTAATTTCCATTGGATCTATTCAGTTGCATAATCTTATATGTCAGTTTTCTTTTTCCCGTTGAGCTACCAATCTATCGGCCTTATTTCTTTACTCTGTCATATAGATATTTGGATGCGTACATTTTCGTCAAGCCAGAAATTACGCGAATTCCCAGACGATTTTGTCTCCGCCATAATTCTATTGAAATGAGAGGTTACTTGAAGAAGACGATTGGGGGTTTGATTTTGGCACCGATAGTTTGCCCCCTTCGCGTATTCACGGTCGGAGCCAAGTCGAGCTCAACCCTATCGGAGTGCAACCCCGAGGGTTTATTGGAGCCGAACGTATACACGGCTATTTTTGCTGGCTCGAACAAACACATTTTCGACGTACCGTAATAAGCAATGAGTCAGATGTGTTAAAAAGAATTTTAGATCTCGGAAAATTACCGGTATTTATACATCTGTAATTGTGAGAAATTACTTTATTAATTCGCAAAGCAAACTTCTACTTCCTAGCCTATCTGCATTATATTATATTTCTGTAACAACACTTTTAATAATTGTATTTACCTGCATGTACACAAATGTAAGGCAGTGTGGTTATAAACTAAAAAAAATAATTGTCTTTCGACGTCAGCTTTAATACAGTTTATTCATTGGTTATAATGACCGTGAAGCACACCTGACACAAATGTAATAGCCGTAAGACTTTATCAACGTGAAATCACATTGACACTGTAGCACTGTCTCTCTTTTGACGCGTTGCAAAAATCTAGAAAATTGAAATTCTGTAAAGTTAATCAACCAGAGAAGATGAAATCATTTGAAAACGCAAATGAAAACAATAATTGGATGAGGAATGTATTTTACTGTATAGTAACGGAATAAGGTTTATGTTCTTTCGATTACTTGTTTTCCTATTCTAACCTTGAACTGTATTCAATTATAATCACTTCCCATGGACATATAAACTAATATCTGTAAGATAAAGTCGATGGATTGGATTGTATTATTTAAATTTAGTATAAGTTTTTTTTAATTAGCGTATTTATTTAATTTTACCATATTTGCAAAATTATAAGTAAATATATATATTGTGTTTTTCCAATAATTTAAAAAAAAAACATTGGTAAAAATCCAATGTTTAATGCATACAAAATGTGGGATTTAAGACCCCCCCCCCCCAACCTCCACAAATTTCATCTGAAATACGCAAGACATTATTTGAGTGGGCGTTGTACATTTTCTGTCATATGTTTATTGGATTACGGATTACCGTACAAAATACAGGTTTTATTTTGCACTTTATAAACTGAACAGCGTTAGTGATGTTATATTATAAACAGGTGTTATTCAAAAGAGTAATATCTGTTTAATGTATTCTGCCATGACTTCATGGTTATTAGTATATTTATTACTGTCGTATACGTGATATGTGGCATAATATATAGTTAGCGTGCCCACTTGCCAGGCACGTAGCAATCCCTGTTTGGTGAAGGGCGTCACACCTAGAGGGGCGTAATACGTGTAGTTCATGCCCCAGTGAATGTAATCCCACCATTTTTGGCATGGTGATTAGCAGATCACCGCGAGGTCACTTTGACTGCCTTTTCTGAAATGGTGCGTAAATACAATAAAAAGTACACAAAAGAAGGTAATGAAAAACCATCGTGAATATCCACGAAGCGCCACTTGTGTAAGACAAAAGTCACCGATATCCGAACAAGGGTAAGATATTGTGCAATGTACTATTACTATACTACACGCCATGGTACATTTTTATTTATTATGAAGTCAATAGTGCAAATACCATTTCGCGCGACAGTTGGTCATACTACTACCACGTTCGTTATATCATCATAGTCAACAAACCGCATATGCTTAAAATATGACTGAGAGGTCCGTCAAGTTAACGGTCGGCGATTAACGACCACCATAAAAAGGCCGGGCACAGATCTAGAAGCAGTACCTACACACGAATTGGTGACGTCATAAAATACATGACCTTCAATCGGGGTCGTTTCCTCGGTATATACGAATTGGTATATACAAATTACAATAAAGATACTTAAGACATTACACATAAGGTAAAACAAATCACGTGACAATATAATGATAATAACGGTAATAAATCCTAGCTTACAGTTGAACAGAACGCTCATATAGTCAGTCGGGTGACGCCGAGGGTCACGACTGTGTTGCAAATGGCCGTGTGTTGAAACTGGGTCATGCATGACGG